CATTTGAATAATGTAAATATTAAAAAGAAATGGGTATCAAAGGGTACTTCCTCCATTATGACAGTCACAGATAATTCCATTAAATCTATACATGTCGGGGTGTATTGAAAACATTCTTTCTAATCTGAAGCTATAGGCTCAATCTATTTCTAGCTTCATTATAGCTCATTACAAGGAAATTTAAGAATTTTATTATTCTTATATGGTCTTTAAATTCTCCAAAAGAAAGGTATACTACGAACCAGAAATTATTTAAAACTGACTTAGAGCTTTAACAGAAAATTATTTACACTACAGGAGGTGCAGATTGAGGATGAACAAAAGTAGTATAATAAATTATATCCCTTAAATAAATAACAGCAATGTATAATAATACATCTCTTGATAGGTGATAAAAGGCCTTTAAGGCAAATACTCTTCATGATCTCTGACAGAAGCTTCTCTTATGATACAGAAAGAATAGAATGCCAATGGATTTACTTCTTTCCAAGTGCGATTTTTGTTTTATTTTCAGACAGTAATACACTATAAGGAGAGCAGGAAAGTGGTAAGAGCCTGGGAGGAACAGGATGAAGAGGCAGGCATACAACATGTATTAAGCATCTACTGTATGTCTGGTACTTTCACATAAGAACCCCAAGGGGTGGGTGTTTTGGTCCCCACTGGGAGATAAGGTTGCTGAAGCTCAGGGAAATTAAGGAACTTTCCCAAAGCCACATATCTGCCTAGTAAAAGTAAATTCTAAAGTCCATATAGAAATACAGTAGTATGTCTAGTTCTCTAAATAATCATAATTGCATCATCTTGCAGTTGTGCCTTTCATTGACTGCAGCCCCCGCCAAGAGAAATCCTGAAAATAGATCTATACTGGATACAATTCCAGAAGGGGTATGTAGGCATACACGAGAAGGTATCATTTCAGTGAAACATAGAAAGGCTCACTCAGCTGTAAAAAAAATAAATTTGTGCAGTCATCTGTAGAAATTTATTATCAAGGTGGGTTAGCCTTGCTCAACAATATGATACAGCTAAAACTCACCATCACTGAAAACTATATTAATTAAATAATTATATATATTTAACTTAATTTAATATATAAAACTATATTAAATAATTAATGATGATACAATCAGAAGCCAAAACACTTGAAACTGAAGAGATCTAGGATTACTTTAGCATGCATTACATTTGGTTTTATATGCAAGATGGAATGATGGAGTGTTGAGTTTGTGTGCTTTGGAATCAGATCTGGATTCAAAACTTGGTTACAGCAATTACTGGCAATGTAAGGGAAGTAAAAGACTTAGGTGAGTTTCCCTAACCCTCAGTTGATCTATCTACAAAATGAGGAAAATAAAAAGTATCAAATTTATAGAGTTAAGACTTAAATAACATATATTAAAGGCCTGACTGGCATAAAGTTGGTGTACAATAAATAAATGGCAGCTATTATTACTGTAGTTCTCTAATTGATGTGGGCATACGTCTGATCTGCCCAAATAAGCTCCTTGAGGACTGTGCCATCTTGGTATTGTCAATGCCCCCCATTCAAAGATCACCAAGAACACATCTGTAATGGGATGAGCTGGGTTTAATATTCATTGCAGTGAAGCAGAATGAACACCCACCATGGGGCACTTTGGGGTGTCTCAGTAGGAGAGTTTTAGAAAGAGCTTATTATAGGATTTGGGCTTTTGTTGAGTGATTTTAGGGAGGCTCCAAGAAAGGGGGGGTTCACTCTAGATTGGCTACTGTCAGAAAGCAGAGGCAATTCTACAGGGAGGGCAGAGCAGAGCGAGGATAAAGCTGCAATTGGTAAAGAGGCAGCAGCCACTCACATCAGGCGGGAGAGGGCAATGTTTGGTATTTTGTGGGTGGCACAGTGACATTTTTTGGTCTGTGCTTAGACAATATTATAAAATGGTCTTGTTTCATCTTATTTTATCACGGTCTCAGCGTAATCTTGTCTTCTGGCATTCTGAGAAATTGTTTATGTCCTCCTTCTAACACACTGAGGCCTCAGTGTCAGATCATTTCCTGGACACCAAGAAGCATCCTGGGCTGCTTTTTTCTTTCTCAGTATATTTTCAAAGTATCTATTCATTACATGTGCTTAATAAGATTCCTGAATTAATAAAAACCTGAATTAATTAATTTAAAAGTGAGTTGCATGTTGTGAGGATACAATCTTTTACACAACTACTTTTAATTAAGAAGCTTGCTTCATTCACTATTCCTTTCAATAGAGATGGCAATATAAAAACAACCAATTTAATTTTAGTTTGCTGATGGAAAGTCTAAGTGATTTTATTAAGATCAGTCGTGAATCAGGAGCCAAAGTACAAACTCTGGTCAGTTCACTTTCCTCTATGAGATGTAATGTTAAATTTTATTACTAAGTTCTCTCTCTTCCTCTGATGATTGTACTGGGTGGGCAAATTCTTTCCTACATGCTCTTTATCAATTTCCATGGCCAAAATAAACAAACAAAAATCCTCCACGCATCTGTTTAATCAGTGCTTTTGTTGTTGGTGCTGCTGAGTTGATTCTGGCTCCTAGTGACCCTGTGTACAACAGAACAGCATCCTGCCCTGTCTTTTCCACCATCTTCTCACCTTCTGACACTATATGCAACAATGCTCTGCTGCTATTCATGGGGTTTTCACGGCCAATTTTTCAGAAGTGGGTGGCCAGGTCCTCCTTCCTAGTTTGTCTTAGTCTAGAAGCTCTGCTGAAACCTGTCCACCATGGGTGACCCTGCTGGTATTTAAAATACCAGTGGCATAGCTTTCAGCATCATGACAATATGCAGCTGCCACAGTATGACAACTGACACATGGGTGGTGTGGTCCCTGACTGGGAAACGAACCCAGGCCACGGTGGTCAGAGCACCGAATCTTAACCACTAGACTACCAGGGCTGGCTAATTATTGCGTAGCCAGACTTTAAAAAGAACTACATTTTCAATTTTGAAAATCCATATTGTGTACACCTTTTTTCTTCAAATAATGAATGTTATTTTTATGAGTAATTAAAAAGATTTAATGGTCATTTATCGTAACATTTTTGGGGGAAAATGTTTTCATAGTACATTAGAATTACTGTTTGCCATTCTCATCACAAACTGGTTATTTTAAGTTTGTAACGCTTAAGTAATTTTGACAGAATGGATCAATTTTAAGAACCAGCTATACAATGGCTATATATCACCCATTTTAGAACAGGTTTTACTACCATATCAAACTCCCCCTGACTCCAGATCTTTTGGAGTAGTCCATGACAATTCATACAAATGACTGTCCCACAACCATAGCCTGCCTCAGTTCCAGTGTTTTACTACCTGAGGGTATTGTAAATGAAAATGGTAACATTCATAATCTCAACAGAGAACTTGAGAGGAAATAAGTAAGGCTTGGTATGGTGAGGTCAGTCCTAAACTATAAGCATTCGCCCTGGCAGATGCCCCTGACTTGTCTTAGAGCAAGCTTCTCATTCCTAGGAAAACACTTGGCTAGAGGTTCTCATAACTGGAATATCAAGGGCAACAGTAAAGAGGGTTAAAAAGGTTGAGCTCATCAAGCCTCTAAGGAATCAAAGCAAATACCAGATGTCAAACTGTTACTAAATGCCCTGTTAATGCTTTAAGTATTTGAGGGGGAGAAAGTGGGAAACTTCATTCAAAAGTTCTGGGGTCTCTCAAAAGCAGATTACTGAAAACAACTGTTATTAAATAAATGAAATCAAGATTTAAGGTCACTTAATATCATAAAACATAATAAATTAATGTGTATATATATATTTTATGTATGTACGTGTATATATGCGTGTGTTTGAGTGTGTATAGGCACTGTGAGAAATAAAAATATTTCCCAATATAAATGAAGATCAAGGATATTTATCATTTAAATATCTCAAGTGGCTTTTGTTAGTTAAGTTAGTTAAGTGATGGCTATAAAGGGCTTTCAAGTTTTTATTCACGACTACAAAGAATTTCTAAAATTTAAAGTATGTTATAAAAATGAGATAATAATAAAACCACCTTTCTAGGATGAAAGTACTAATACATTTTCCCATAAATTAAATCACACTGTTTATAATATATAATCCTATAATTTGACATGAATATGGACCAGAATTTTTATTACTTCAGATGCATGCTGCGCTCATAAAATTTATTTATTTCAGCACAACTGAAAACAAATTGACACCTCATAATTAGTTCTCATTCATTTTAAGAATATGATATAAATTACATACATCAAGTTTATTAATCTGAATAACAGAAAAGAAACAACGACTGAGCTGCTACTTTTATATACTTGGTTAGTTAAAACTCTGTACTAGTCAGTAATGGCATAAATTTTGGCACTGTCTGGATCATCTACAAAGAAGCAGTGGTAAGGAGATCAGGGGAGTTTAGAAGAGTAACCAGAAATACAAAGATGAAGAATGAAAACCTTAAAAACTGGGGTAGAAGTCTTTCTAGAGTTTATCCATCTGCTTAGTAAATATTGTCTTAAGAATATTTCACAAAAATATAAAGCCAGTGGATATGACAAATTAAATGATGTTAGAGTCCTCCAGGTATGTCAGTACCTATGTGATCCCAGAGAAGTGACACTGTATTTGGGAAATATTTATTCCCCTCATTAGTTAAAAGGAGACAACACTAATGATTCACCTTAGAGATAATAATAATGACAAATAGTTAAATTACAAAATTGAATACTTCCTTATTAAAGCATTTATAAAAACCACATAACATACACAGAGCACTACTGAATTAATCAAATTTCCATAAATTATCCTTCAAGATAAATTAATAATAGCATCTATCATTTTTTTCTAAGTATTTAAGTTCAAGTGCCAATGAACTTCTCTATCATAATATTAGGTCAACTCATGAAACTAATTTTGCTGATTATATAAATTATACTTAATTCTTGATTTCTGCCCATTATTATTCTTCAAAGACAGAGAACTTGAATGTTAAGTCTTACCTGGCTAGGTTCTGTTCCAGTAACAGTCAAGTCTTGGATGGATCTACGTCTTGGCTGTCCGTTGCCTTTTAAAAAATAAAAAAAGTAAAATACAGAAATTTATTCAAACAGACAATAAGGGTGTTAATTACTACAGTAGGAAGTTGGAATTTGTTGCTCCTTGGATCTACACAAAATGTTTGTAGGAAAAAGAATGAGTTTATTAAAAAAAAAAAAAAAAGATAAGGAAAGGAAGAGAAACAGCTGCAGTCTTTTAACTCACAAGTTGCTGGCCTACAACAAAGTATGTCCTAATACAATAACCGCCCCTACCACACGAATAGCTGCTGGACTCTCTTCCACCATCTTCTGTCATGCATTTAAATAGATGAATGCTTGGGGGCTGGGGCTGATGACGGCATCTATTTCAAGGGCCTTACGTTACAGTTTCTACAGAAAGACAGCTAGCAGATTGTAAGACATGACTGAGTTTAACCAACAGTAGTACGTTGGTTCATTTCAGGGCCTAAAAGAATGTTTAGGCTTAAATTTATTATACCAAGTCACACTTACTCAATCCCATTAGTCTTTGTCAGAATCTAGTAATTCAGTATTTGTGAAAAACAATTCTCAATTTCCTACTGGAGATGAATGACTCTCATTCCATTCTCAAATACACAGCTTGCAGAAATGGGCTATAGTGTTAATCCTGCTTTAGGAACTTCTATGCCAATAATAATTTAATTTAAAAATCAGTTTATGAAAGAATTCTACAAATATAAGTCTTCAGCAAAATAGAATGAATTAAGCAATAGCTTCACTCAGCATTTTTATTTGGGAATAGGGCTGTTTACACATTATCTTCTAAGATGGGAGATCAGCTGTCTAAAAGAAAACATCAAAATAGTATGAGTAACAGCTGACACAATACTCAAAATTCTTTTGACTCTTAAAGTTATATTATGTAATTTCTCAACTAGTGGGTAGCACTCAGAACACGCACTCTAATAGCTGTGGCCCGATTAGCAGAAAGAATTCATTCTTAAAACTTTATATTTCCACAATCCTGAGTATCTTATTTTAAACCAATCAGCAAAATAATTTAGCATCTTAACCCATGTGACTCCATTATTATTTTGCACATAAACTAAAAGGACCTTACAACAGAATAATAATGTTTAATGCAATAATATGTGTAGTGAATATAACAACTCAAATTTATATCCACCCTTGAAAGTGTAAGACATCATCTCTCTTTTTCATTTTAAGCTTTTTCATTTTAAGCTATGTTTTAGAATTCTTTGCATAATCTTAAATTTACTTCAAATTTCATTTTATTCCCAGTTCCAACTTTTGATTACAAATTAACATAACAACAAACTGCACATTTATTGAATCAGGCACACTAAGATACTTTTGTGAAAACTTTTAACCATCCCTGTTTCCCAAGGATAAAAAGGATCTCCACCACCATGACTAATCAGCAATTTTAGGCACATTTCATTCAACACAATCATTCTAAAATTAGCTTCGATGAGAGAGGCTTGTAAAAGTGTCTGGAATTCTCTTTTCAGATTAGCAACATTTGTGAATCTGAGGAACCACCCAGCACATGTGTCTAAAAATCATTACATCACCATTGCAATAACAACAAAAACAAACTCAAATCTAGGTGGGGGTAGGAGGAAAGGGGAGTAAAAACTTTTAAGGAAGTAGGGTAAAGAAGAGCTGAAAGTTAACAAATGCCATAAAATGAGAAATCTTCAAGCTACAGCATGAGTCAAAGCAAGCAATATTAGGCAATGCATTTTAATTAGCATAACCATGGCAGAAACCATCTGGCAAACAGTTCAGATAAGCAAAAAAGGATTGCAATCAACAAATACTTGTTGCTCCAATATTAAGTTTTAAGTCATAATTTAGAAATATGAATGTAAAAAAAATCGAATTCCTATTATTGCAAATGAAAATTACTGGGTGTGTTTTCAGTACATTTAGACTGATTCTGAATTTTTTTGCAGCTAAATACTAATTTAGAAACTCACTTATTTTACATTTTTTCATGGTTCTTGGATATGTGCATACCTATGTTACACATGGTAGTATAAATGAAAAAAGAAGTAGAAATGAGGGGAAATATGATGTCAATAGATGCCTAATCACGGGACCTGAAACCTGCAAATAATGTTCCAAGTATTTCATTCTATAATGAATTCTGGAACTTCCATGACTTATGACAGAGAATAAATATTTTTTAGAATAACTTTTCTAAGTAAGAGCAACAAAAGAAATACACTACATCTCTAGCCTATCCTACCCTTCCACCTCCTAAAAAAAGAAAGTGTGGTTAGAATAGCAGTTATAGGTCAATTCAGTTGATTTTACAATAATGCCACAAAAACAAAATCTAGATCTTCAAAAAGCTGCTCTTCTAAGTACAATTCATTTCCTGAGCTGGTCTTTGAACACGGAGTCCCTCCAGATATTGCTGGCTTAGGTCCCAGACAGTCACTCCTGTGGTTTTTCTTATTGGTTTAAGTAAGCTCATAGTTTTCCTTACCTTAACTACTTTTATTTTTCTATTTTCCAAACTTCCAGAAGACTCTCTTCATGTAAAAAATCAACACTCCATTTTCCTGGAGACATCTTTTAACCAAAATGCTGGAAATTTTGAGATTCCTAAGTTTTGAATATTAAAAATTATAGGACACTGTTCTCTTCATGTGTAAAATACACAAGATTTAAAAAATTTGTACAGCACTACACACTGCAGTACTGTATCACTGCTTCATGGTAAACTGAATATGTAATTTAAAAATCTATGTTCTCACTTAGGCTGCTACAAATTTCATACTCCTTTACTAATTTCAACATATTCTGGATCATTCCTTAGAAAGGCCCTTCAGAGTATTTTTTTTTTTTCCTCTACCAAAGGAAAGCAATTATTATTGATGAGTTTTGCTTTCTAATAAACCAGCTTTATTCAGTTAGAGTTCAATTTTTTAGATTAAAAAAAGTGATCCTGACAGACTACAATATAGTGGAAAGAGACTACTAAATATTCTCTGTAAGGTTAGATGAACTTCTCTATTTAATTAGCTACAAATACAGATTTTATTGAAGGTGAGGTGGCTACACATGGCAGAAGCAGGTACAGTGTATCTCAGCATAGTTCTCTTTGGGCCTCAGCATCCCTAACCAAAGATTTACAACTGCTAATGACAGCATCTGTGCAAGGCAGAACTTGTCAGATCTAGAAAAGCTCAATTCTCTCTATCTCAGTCTCTTCATACTGGCACTGCACTATTTAGTGGGGAAAAATTGCACTAATAATTTATGTACTTAAAGACATGTTTACAAACATTAGTATCTACTGGTGCTTGAACCCAATATAGTATTAGAAAGGTTATATTCTTTTCCTGATAGAGAAAGCAAAATAGTGCCCAGGTGTCTCTGAACAGATCTCAGCTCCCAGCTGTCCAGCATTCTATAAAGCCCTTACTGTCCCCCATCTGTTTGCCAATTAACTAAGACACTTGAAACTTCTGAAGGAGGACAACAACACGTAAGTATTAGAAACTTGACTACCCATTTACTTTTCTGTTAAACGTGTTTGGTACTTATTCTACTTAACTACTTATCATACTCTTTAAACAACCAATATACAATAGAGCTAAATGTCCCTGACTGGAATTAAAAGTGAATATTCACTCAATTTTTCTCAGTTAAGAGATCTAAATGCAGCTGAAATCATAAAGACACCTGAAGTTTCTTTTCAGCTTTAATAATATTACAAATAATAAATATCAATTAAATTCAGGCTCTTCAGAGACCTGGGCAAAAATATTTTATATCTTTCAATAAGACTGACTCGAAATATTTGCATATTCAATTTTCCTTATCATATCCTTAAAAACAGTATGTAAGACAGAAAATTCTCTTTGGTGAAAGCATTCTGTCACTCTAAAATGTTATGCCATATTATTTTAGGCTTAGAAATAACAAAAGGTATACTAAAGCACCACTGTTCAAGGTTCTCAGAAAGAAGCACAGTAAGGCAACGCTTATCTATGGAATAGATGAGAGAATTTTCAAATGTTTAAAATGAAATCAAGCACTATAATTTAGTCTGAACTAAGAAATTCAGAACTACTGATTATGCTGTTATAATAGCATTAATAAAAACTTTAAATATAAATATTCTATGAAACCTTCCATTTTAGCTAATTTTTAAGACATTTTAAATATATGATAATTATAATGGTCATACAACATCAGTATTTGGAAAAATTTACTTTTGCAAATCACATATTGGAAATTTATTTCATTTTATAATAGCAATCAATCTGGTATAAACTATGTATAGGAATTTTACATTAGAGAGGAACGAAGTCCAGAAGACTAATGTTTCAATTAAATCTTTCACAGGTGGTATGTATATATGTATTTAACAGTACTTTTTTCCAGTGGATTTCAAAATACATTATAATCACAGTAAATTCCCTTAAGTGCTATAACGACTCACACAAAGACTCCAGAGCCACGAACAAAATCTGCTTTCTTAACTACTCAGTCTCTTACTCTATGCTTTAAACTGGAAAAGGTTGTTGCTCCTGTTTTGCAACTTTTTGACATTTTACCTGTTCATCTTTGACATCTGGATTTTTAAAAGAAATGTAAAATTCAGGTATTCTTTTAACACCAGATCAAATGTTATTATCAGAATGTATTATACAGTTTCACAATCCATAAGCCCTATTTCATTTGAGTACTTGAGATGAAGATGGGGGAAAATAGATACTTGGAAGCTTGGATAGTAACAAAAACAAAATGTGAGAAAGTCAAGAAAATCCAAGTAAAAGAACCAAATAAACAAAGATCCACGTTCTTATTAAAGTCTTGGAGGAAAAACAAACCAGAAAAACTTAAAGCAATCGAATAATCGGCCACCCATTCTCTTGTCTTCAAATAAAAGTAACACAAATTAAAATGTACTGGCTGAAAAGGGGAAAGAATTATGCTTTTAAAACTTTAAGTTTTAATGCGAGACATTTAAGAAAGCCTATTTCCTTTTCTCAAAGTCCAT